AATTGTTTTATCTGTGTTTAGCAACTTAAACATAAAATTTAAACATGAACCTTGTTTCATGAGCCTATATGTGGTTCCCTTGTCACCTTTTCTTTCATTCTCTTCTTTTACTTCTGTCTACGCCTCTCCTCTGAGTCAACACTTTTTCATTTTAAAATAGTCATAAATAATTAATTGGTTTTCAACTCATGGATTGACCATATGACTCCCTAATTTGATATTACAATGGGCAAATCATTTGATATAATCCAGATAGTACTAGGAAACAGAATATTAGGACAATACTATTGGCAAAAATGAAAGAATCAATAGTAGCAAAAACCAAAAATTTTGTATGCTCTAATCATGGTATTGTTTGATCATGTTGGGTGTTTTTTTTTGTTCATCTTTCCCGTAATTCCTCTTAACTGGTGTGAATGCTTAGCCCCACATAGGAGTTTCTCTCTTTTGAGACTTACCTCTCATTAAACTCAACTTTCATTCAGTTCAAGAGATGGACTATAGAAGGAATAGATTTAAAATTCACTGCCTGGTCAAAATAAACATGTTGAAGAGAGATGCTAAGATAAAGTTACATCATAAAACTGTGTGTTTAAAAAAGTCATCATATTGCTCTTATGGGAATTTCTCTATTAAATTTACTTTAGCAAATAATGATATTCATAAGAAAATCTACCCAAGGGCCTTAATAAAAAGGAAGAGCCAACACACAGTATTTTATGTCATGAAAATAACAGCTCTGAGAAGTCCACAAGGAAGCCCACTGCTTCATGGTGACTTTGGGGGTTTAGTTTTCCAGGGCTTCCTCTCAAGCTCCATGTGAGTGCACAAGCACAGGTGTGCATAACACACACATGCTGGTTATAATGTGGTTTATTTAATGTACTGATTGTTTTTGTTCATCAAAGCGCTTACTGAAAATAAGTGAGGTTAATGGGAGTCACTTTCTCTCATTCTGACCTCTTCTCCAATCTTTACTCCCAGTGTAACATGAACTTGATGAACTTGCTGTTCTTCCCAAAAAGTAAGTTGCAACAGGGAACATGATTTGAGTAGCAGGTTCTTACTGTGACTGAGTAAAAGACAACTGTTTGCTATAAAGTCCTATAGAGCCACAAGGAATCACTGTTCATAGCCTTTGTACAAAAACAAACCCTGCTGCTCTCTTGCTAGCTTCTTTTGAACTTTCTCTAGCAAACTACTCTGAAGGCAGGATAGCAGACAATTTAAAAACTAAGTCTCTGGAGTTAGATCTGGGCGTAAATTCTGTTGCCACCATGTGCCGATGAGTAAACTATTTAACCTTTCTAAGTTCCAGTTTCCTCATCTGTCAAATAGTTACTTGTGAAGACAATATAAAATAATGTATGAAATAACTGTGGTCACAGAATAAAACTTCAGTAAGATGTGTCTCTTATTGTCTTATTATAATACTAACTTGTGTTTACAAGCCATTTTGTCATTTTTAAAGTATTCCACACCCTTTTAATTCCCACTAGACTCTGCCTTTGAAGGAGTCTTAAAGAGCACTGCCATTATCTACATTTACGGTATTTTTGGAGCATTTATGATTAGCACAACATTGGACTGGGCTCTTCGGTTGTTACTAAACAAATAGTAAACTACCCATCCATTCTCTCAGTGTGCTAAATGTCTGGCTCGAGCCAGATATGAAGGCTGGGGACTCAGAAGACTTCTTGGAAAGAGGAGTGTATGTTTCGAGTTCTGAGAAGCAGGCAAGGGTCCTCCTCCACACACAGGCTGGACCAGGACTCCAAAGACCCGCATTTTAGTTCCATCTCTGACATGAACTAGATGTCTTACCACTTCAACTTTTGAAATCTTTGTTTCTTTGTCAACCAGGTCAGTTTTCCAATAGAACTGCTTCAATCTTATTCTTCTGCTGAAAAGCCAGTCCACGGCTCCCCCTGTCATGCTCTCCTAAGGTGAGCGGTACGGCTCCCCACCCCACTGCCAAAGGTGGAGATCTCGATGTTCCTTTCCCCAGTCCCTCAGTGCTCCTCGTCAATCAATTTGCCACCGGTCCTATTCATTTTCCTTGATTAAAATCTTGTTATGCCTTCTCTGCATTCCTCTGTATTCAGGAATAGGTTGGGCCTTCTTATGCAGCCTAGATCATTGCGCTAGCCCCCTAATGCTTTTTGCCTGCTTGCTCCCTTTATAATCTGTTCTGCATCCCGCCAGTGGGGTGAGCTTTCTAAAATGCAGTTACAATCATGTCATTCTCCTGCATATAATCCTTCAGTGTGTTTCCGTTAGCTTATGGGAAACAACCAAGAACTTTTCATAGCCCACTTTGTATTGTAGTCGTATGTACTTTTGTTTTGTTCTTCTTCTTGATTAAAATCTACTGGAGTGGGGACAGTGTGTTACTCAGCTTCGTATTTCCCAAAGCACCTAGCAAAGCAGCTTGCATTCTAGTAGGTGCTCATGACATGCCTGTTACACGATTCTATCAAAATATACAAATACTACCGACGTTACCTTTCTCGAGGTAGATGTGATGATTCAGTGAAATGTTATATAGAAGAGCACTGACAAAATTAAATTGGCCCATCCTCAACAATGATATATATATATATTTTTAAAAAAGCATAGGTGATTCATATATTCATAAGCCCAGATGAAAAATTTATTATTTCAATAAACTACTCAACAAAAACTCATCTTCATATGATTGATGTTGGAGAGATGATGAACTGTTGTAAATCTCAAAAACAATGGCAGAGCTTTGTAGACAGAGTTTAAAGACAGTAGAGATGGGATGCAGTCTACAGAGCTGTCAGCAGCAAACAGGGCAGCAGGACTTGATGAGGTCTAGGGCTCCCTACAGACAGCCAACAAGCATTTAATGAGCATCACAGAGGGGCTTAATGTTCCATACCACTACTCAAGGACCTCTTTTTCCTGGCCCAGTTCACATGGTAAATTCACAAAGCCAAGTGGCCTGTTGCCAGAGTGAAAATGTTCTGTCTCTCACCAATTCTTCCCTTCCTCTCCTCGCTGCAAGGCATGGAAAAGGATCTGAGATGGGATGGCTCTCGTCCTGCTCCACTTTAAGCACTCTTTCACCATAAAAATGGACGTCTCCACTGTTCCTCTTAAAGAGATGAAAACTCTTCTGCTTAGAATTCAGTGACTCACTCCACTTGGACACACCACAATCTTTCTAGGGCGGAAACCCTGAATTCAAGTGCAGCTGGCCAAGTTGGGGAGAAAACTTTAAGCTGTTTCTGGGAAAGAACTTTTAAGCCTTCCTACTGATGATGAGAAACAAACTTTGCTCTTTGCAAGGGTTAGAAGCATAAGTGTGCTAGTGAATAACAATCCTGGACCTAGCCAAAGAATGCTTGGGTCGTTTGGATTACCATTAATTTTTTTTTTTTTTTTAATGGAAGCATCTAAGTTCCTGAATTCTTATGATAAACTTTGGAGAAGCATCAAAGAAAGAAGAAGTACAGACTGGAGTGAAAATAGGGGTCAGTTACCAGATATTTGTAATAGCAAACTGTCTTTTGTAGCTAAAGCCAGAATGTTCAGTGCTGTATGTAATTGGGGAGCCACCATATGTAATTACTTATTATATGGAAGGATCTAAGCAAAGTACTTACTCTGCAAAATTTCATTTAACCCTCGCATAGGCCCTATATGATTGAAAACTGTAGCTGCCAAACTGAATCAGCATTTGCCCAAGGGACCAATGGGTATTTATTCATCAGCCTGGTAGAACTATTTCGGGACTAAAATGAAGCAGAGAGAGTAGGAAAGGTACAGCACTGAGAGGAATGTAGTGTTTAATAGAGTTCCAGCGAGGCAAGGGGTGTTGAAGGAACAGATCGGTGCTAAACTCCCTTGGGCGGTAATCATCTCTCCTAGCTTCTATAGAACACGAAAATGTGTTACAAGGTTTTCTGGTGGCATGTTTCCATAGTTTGCTGAGTCCTTTGGGAACACTTCGCACCATGCTCATATCCAGGTGAAAGGGAACCCAGCCGAATGTCATTAACCCCATTATCTGACCTGAAACCTTGTGCAGTGGGCCTAGAGGCTCCTTGTTTAAGGTCCCAGGTGTTGTGCTTCAGTAGCTAACGAAGCATTCTTTTGTGTAAATCTTGCCCAAATCCCTTAAGAGCATCTATACAGCTTTGCAATTTTTAGGACAAATCCTTTTCCTGTGTAAAATAAATAGGGATTTAATTTTTTTTTCTTTCTATGGACAGGATCCCAGCTGTCTCTTCTTCCTTCCAACAAAAACAAAATAGGTGACTTGTATCCATATACAGTTCACAAAGTTTAATCGTGGTGCTCTCCTACAGGATGTGTTCCTTTGGCCGTATTGTCTGTACTGGTAAGCTCATCGTCTTCTGCATAATCTCACTGTCCCTCAGTGCTGCTCTTACTCATTGCAACACTTAGTCTAAGCCTGTATTAGTTCCCCTATTGCTATCACTTGCTCAATTTTTTGTTCATTACTCTTTTCCTACTGATCCACCACGTTGCCACAGTTACCTTTACAAAACACACCACAGGTTTTATCTGCCTTAAACCTGGTAATAGGTCCCTACTGTTCCCTAAAGCCTATGAGAGAAAGTATCAACTCCCTGGAATTGGGGTTTAAGGCAGAGCTTAATTACTTACCCTTCTTCCTTTCCAGATTCTGAAGCAAGTGTGGGTGAGATGCACAAGCCAGATGGGGATGAAAATGCAGTATTCAATTTACTGCCGATCATGACACATTGGGGCTGGGGCCAGAGGCAGAATAAAACATGCCTTCCTGTAATTCTTTCTTTGAATTTTCCATGCAGTTTGGGAAGAGCTGCTGGGAAACTGCAGCCTATTTTCTTTTGGTGCAGGTTTGGGGGCCTGGGGATTGCCTTAGAGGTTGAGCAACGAATCACAAGTCTGCTTGGAGGGCTTGTGGAATCTTAGGAATAACACTTTCTGAAAATCCTAGAGGGAGGCCAGCCTATTCAATTTCTGGAAATCCAATGGGCTGGCAACTAAGACCAGCAATCAGACCATGACATCGTCCTTGAATCCGGACTGGTTTTGGAGTTTCTGTCTCTCAACAGTAAGTCTTTATCTGCTTGCCTCTTTGTCCCTGACCTTGGAACAGTGGTTTGAGATAATGAAATGTTTCATCCCTGTGCATGTTTCTTTAAAATGGGGGAAATTGTTGCCTTTTTGAGGTGTGGAGCGTATAGCCAGAAGTGTTTGATAAAGACCTGGGAAATTAGGTTTCCCCAGCATTCTAGCTCTTCCTGACATCCTGATATTATCTCCTTGTGAAATAGGAAAATCAATCTTTGTGCCTTTACAACAATTTCTTGAGGAAGAAATGAACTCTCTGGTGAGGCTACATGGACCTTTCCCTTTCTGCTCTTAGAGGGCCAGCTTGGGCTGAAGCTTTGAGGACTGTACTGAATGAAGAATGTGAAACATGGTTAATCCATTTTAACTTTGTCACAACTGGTTCTGCAGACACATGGAAGTGAACTGGATTGAGTTCCAGGACACAGGTAGCAAAAATCTGACCAGCTGTTCTGTTACCACTTACCAGGCACTGTCGTCTTCCTAGGTAAGGAAAGCCCACGTCCACTGCCCTGTATCCTACCTATTCTCAACCCCAAACTGAAATATATGTCAATTCCAACACCCCACTCCTGGGTGCTGATGTCTGCATTACGCGGGATTCCTGAGTGTGCAAGTGAGAGAAACCCAAGTCAAAGTAGATTATGGCCAGAAGTATGAAAATCCAAGACAGTCTGTATTTTATAACTGCTTCTAGTACCAGAGGCAGAAAGACTCTTCTTTTCCCAGAGACCTTATCTCAGATTTGATGGAGAGAGTCTGATTACCCCACCTAGGGGCACATGCCTCTCCCTTGACCAACTGCAGTGCCCAGAGGGATGTGTTGCTTTGAGCGACCAGGTCTGGGATATGTCATGTGTTTACCTCTGGGGCACATAGGTGTGGGGCTGGAAGGAAGCTGGGATTTCCTGAAGGACAAGAAGAAAACAGACAAGAAACATATGCCCACTCCATGGACCTCATTGCATTGTTCCATAATTGTGTGTTATGTGTCTCATTTAGCCCCCATGTCAGGCTCAGAGCTACTGCACAGTGGTCACATTTGTCTCTCTCACAAAGTGAGAAGGAGATGGTTAAGTCTGGATTTCACTCACTTAAAAAGGGAAGAAAAGAGAATCCCCAAGCACCTCAGCCTTGTGGCCATGTGACACTTCTCTAAGCACCATAGCCAGCTAGGTCAACACCCCTTCAGTCACACTGAGAAAGGATGCTGGCATAGCCGCTCGCCCTGCTGAGCCTGGCGCCGCCCCTGCTGAAGCTGCGGCTCAGCGTAGCTGTTACTTGGGAGGTCTGCAGAGGCCGGCTCTGGCCAAGCCACCTGCTCCGGCTTTTCAGAGCCCCGCATGCTGCCAAATTTTCCCAGGCCACAGGGATTTCTGAATATAGGAGGGAGTATTCTGCGTGACTTGGTAATGTCCCCAGTGAAGGGTGCTGCCCACCAAAATGGCCTGTACTCCATGTTCTATTTTATTATGTTCCTTTAAAAATACATTTCTTATTTTGAATTACTTTTAGTTTGCAAAGACAGTACAGTTTCCATATGTGCTTTACCTAGCTTCTCCTCTTGTTAACATCTTATAACCATGATGAATTTCTCAGAACTAGGAAATTAGTATTGCTGTTAACTAAAATATAGACTTTATTCAAATTTCAGTACTTTTCTCAACTCGTTTTTTTTTTTTTTTTTTCTTTTAGGATATTACATTGCCTTTAACCAAGTTCTTTTGATTTACTCTCAGGAGTAATTCTCTTATGTCAAGAAGCTAGTGGGGTAGATTAATTGCCCTAATGGCCTCCATTTATCACCCTTCCCTGTAACCATGCTCCTTACAAAGTGAAATTTAGCATTTCCTATAAAAAGGTGGAGCTTGTGGTCTTGGCTGGGTGGCTCAGTTGTTTGGAGTGTTGACCTATACACCAAAAGGTTGTGGGTTCAATTCCCTGTCAGGGCACATACCTAAGTTGCAGGTTCCATCTCCGATCCGGGGGCATAGAGGAGGCAACTGATCTATGTTTTTCTCTCTCTCCTTCCCCCCCTTCTCTAAAATAAATTAAAACATATCCCCAGATGCGGATTGGAAAAAAACAAAACGATGGAGTTTATGATGCCATCCTTGAATCTGGGCTGGCCATGACTTGCTTTGGCCAACAAAATGCAGCAGATATTATTAAGATGTGCCTATTCTGAGCCTGGGCCCCAAGAGATCTTGAGTGCTGCTGCTCTCTCTGCGCACCCCAGCCTCCTCCATAAGAACAATGCTGGGCTAGCTTGCTGGACTGAGGGACTACATGAATCAGAGGGAAAATATCCCAGCTGAATACTGAGGCCACGGTAGACAGCCAAGCCCAGCTGACTGCAGATCCACGAGTGAGTCCAGCCAAGACCAGCTACGCCTGTCCCAGAACAGCAGGACTACCCAGATGGCTGTACACTTGTGAGCAAAATACATGTTTATTATTGTGAGCACTGAGGTTTTGTGATTGTGTTTATGTAACAGCACTGTGACAATAGATAACTGATATAGCGAAGTCAGGATAGATTCTGATATAGGACATCTGGTGGCTCAGGTTTCACTGTCACCAAGTTTGGTTAAATTTGTTGAAATTTTCAAATTGTAGGTTTAGTAAGCACTTCTTATAGGATCCACCTCTTTTGATCTGAGTGGGTTTGAATGGAAAACTCATACATGGAAAAGTATTTCTCCTGCAATACTGGGTACTTCTGTGTGCTCTTGAACCCGTGGTGTCATTGGCTTATGCATTCTGAAGTCAGGGGTCACTACAATATGTCCCCAGGTTTTTCCCCCCATTTAATTCCAAAGACAAGAAATCTATGCATATTTGCGCTAGGACTTTGCTGCTTTGGTGTTTCCCAAGTAAGCTGTCTGTGTTGGCAGGATTTTCTGCTGACTGCAGTGGGTACAAGTCTAGAATTTAAATTTGATGTTTTCAGCCATTGTAGATTTTAAAAAGTTTTTTCCTCTCTCAGGGTGGCCAACGTCATTTTTCCTGTGGGGCAAAACCAGTTAAAGGACATTATATCATCTAGTATAAGGCCCATTAAACAGCTTTACCTCTTAGTCCTGGAGCTAAATTCTGGTTCCCCTAGAGAGTGCTCAGGTCCTCTCCTTTCAAGGGGCTCAAGCTTTTTCTCTACCCTTTCCACTCTGGTAGCTTCCTTCTCTTTCCTACTGGGAGAGTGGCAGTTTTCCCAGGATTATAAAGATGCAAGTTGCATTCCCAAGCTTGTTGTCATTCTCCCTCCAGAGAATAGCTTATCCCTAACTCCCTTGCAGAGGGGGTTCAATACCTTGTCAAGGGGAAAGCAATAGAGCGAGTTGCAACGCATTTCTGAGCTCCGATCTGCAGCAACTGCCTGGATGTGTCAGGTGACGAAGGGGATCTAAGAGTCTAACTGCCTGTGACAGGCTTTCAGACAGTCCTGTTTGCAGGCGCCTGCCCAACTTTTTGAGACAACTGGGCCCTCAGTGCCTGAGACTCTATGGGTTTCATGGAATGAAGTAACATGCTTTATTAGCTTCCCCGCATCCCCCCACCAACCTGGGGACTTGTTGTTCGGATTTCTTGGTTCTTTATCACATTCCCATCTTTCAATAATGTGTTGACACCCCCTTTTCACTATTGTATCCTCTTACATTCTCTGAGTCTTTGTGGGTTTATATTTTAATTTTATTCCTCCAGTTTTATTTTAATGAGGCTCTGCAAGAGAGCAACATCCATGATCCATCTGCCATGTTTCCCCTGAAGTCTTCAGATTTTTTAGGTTTTTATAAACATATACAAGTTTGTTCTGCCATAGCTTAATAAGTGTCTTCAAGAATCCTGTTTTGCTTTTAAAAAATCATATGATAAATGTGATTATCTTAATAGTAAAAGGACTTGGAGCTAGAGAGTTTAAGATTTTAAAGCAAAAGTATTTTTTACCTAGAGGGATTTAGTAACTCTGTAGTTAAAAGAATAGCAACAAAACCTAAACATCACTGAGCACATCAGCTTTTGTTCAAGATAATGGATTTTCTTTTCTTATCACTATTAGCAGCCTCATTAACACAGAGCTCATATTCATTCGTATCTAATCACTAGCTTTACCTGGAGGCAGTCGCACATTGGAAGTAGCTTTGGTGCTACAGCTTCTCTCTGTGAAGCTGATGTGATGGTTGTAATAGTGACAGCATATTTGAAGTCTGTTCCATATCCTATGAAGGATATGACAGTGTAGTCAAATCATATGTAAGCTTTCACACATACAAATATTATCTTTTAAAAATATAAACTGGATCATAACACATACATTTTTTTGCAACTTCCTTGTTTCTTGTAATATACTATGGGTCCCTTCCATGTCAGTACATAAAGAACCAATTCATTATTTTTTCTATAAAAACTTCTCAGCTGTTTTTTTTTATTTATTTTTAAAAAATATGCTTTTATTGATTTTTAGAGAGAGAAGAAGGGAGAGGGATAGAGAGATAGAAACATCAATGATGAGAGAGTCATAGATTGGCTGCCTCCTCTGTGCCCCCTACTGGGGATCGAGCCCGAAACCCAGACATGTGCCCTAATTGGGAATCTAACCTTGACCTCTTGGTTCCTGGGTCGATGCTCAACCACTGAGCCACATGGCAGGGCTCTCAGGTGGTTTTTAATTCAAAGCAATATTATAATAAACGTGCTTTAATACACTTTCTTGCTTATTTGTTTATATATTTCTATAGGATATTTTGTTCTGGAAATAGAATTCTGGGTCAAAGGGCCTGCATCTGTTACATTTTGATAGATAAGGCCAACTTGCCTTGCAAAAAACTATCAATTTATACTTTCCAAGCAATTGTCAGAATGCTCATTTTTCATTCCAGCTCCCAAGCTGTACTTATTTTCTCCTTATAATCTTTGGGTATCTGATAAATGAGACAGTGTTGTCTTAGCTCACAGTTTTGGTTATCAGCATGGCAGTGTTGTTCTCTGCTCTACTTTCAGCCCTCATTAAAAAACTGATGCTTTGCTCCTATTTCTGATAAGTGGTAGAAGAATGAAGTCGCTCTAAGGTTTTCAACAAATCCAGATGCTTGTTCATTAAAGGGTGGTTGTTCGTGAGAACATGAGTGACCTGAATAACCTATTTCATCTACCCCTTGATTCTGTCACTCTGGACAGCATTTTAGAAATATGTCAGGTCAGGTGGTTGCTGGAGGGAAGGGGATTGGGGGTAGTAAAGAGTAAAGGGGACCAAATATATGGTAACAGAAGATGATTTGACTTTGGGTGGTGGGCACACAATGCGATATACAGATCATGTATTTTAAAATGTAAATTTAAACTGATATAACCTTATTAACCAATGTCACCCCAATAAAATTAATTAAAAAAAAGAAATAAGCCAAGTCAGGGCTCAAATGCTCTCTCCCTGGCGCCTCTCTCCTTAGAGATCTCTGAGAAGAGTTTGAACTATCAACATACTTATCTCTAGAGAGAGGGAGAATCATTTCTTTAACTGCCTATCTTGGTGCTTTAGTCCAATCTTTGGGAGCTTCTTTCTGTATCAGTTTCTTGTGGAAGTCACTAGAGATATATTCTGGTTCTTCCTTTTTAGGCTTTTGAAAGGTTTGCACTCTTCTCACCCTTCTTGCCTTGTGAGACATGGCCATGGGGCTCTTCCTTTTCAATTGAAGCTGGTGAGAAGGGCTCTAAGGAAGAAAGCATACATCATGCCTGGCTCATGCCTGAGAAAAAGAAACAAACCAGCTGAAATTGTTCGGATTAGAGAGGGGAAGTGAATTGGACACCTATTAGGAGTTTTTTCAAATTCTCCAGGCCTACCTCTTCCTCCAGCCATGCAGGGAAGTGAAAATGGACTGTACCTTACCTTGAATCTCTTGCTTACTGTATCGGGGCTTCTCTGAGGCTGTGGAATGGGATGCTGTAGAACCTCACTCAGCACTAATGCACGTGACCCCTGGACAAATTTGTTTTTCTTTCTTCCCCTAAGTGAATAGTTATGAGATAGATTTTGTTAGATACCTACAAGGTTCTGCAGGAGTGAATTGCCATAGCAATGGCTAACCTGTGATAGGTTGAATAATGACACCCCACAGGTGGCAACGCTTTTATGCCTGAAATCTGTAAATATGATACCTTACATGGTGAAGGGGACTTTTCAGATGTGATAAAGTTAAGGATTTTGAAATGGATAGATTATCCTGGGTTATTTGGATGGGCCAAATATAATCACAAGGGTCTTAATAAGAAGGAGGTAGTAGACTTAGAGACAATTGAAGGTGTGAAACTAGAGGCTGGAGTGATACAAGAAAGGGGTCATGAGTCAAGGAGTACTGGCGGTCTCTAGAATTTTAAAAACAAACAAACAAACAAACAAACCCAGAAAACAAGGGAATGGATTTTACTTTCAGAGGCTCCAAAAGAACACAGCTCTGTAAACACCTTGATTTTAGTCCATATGACCTATTTCAGACTTCTGACTTCAGGAATATAGGATAATAAATTTGTGTTGTTTTAAGACATAGCAGTAATAGGAGCCTGATACGGCATCCATGTTTCATTCCCTCATCCCTCACCTTCATACCTTGGGGTCACATTCCTAAGTTATGTGCTCACACAGAAGCCTTTGTCTCAGGGTTTGCTTTGTGAGGAACTTAGGGTTAGACAGGAAATAACTGGATTTCTGCTGACAGCTTCTATGGGGTCTTTTTCCTGAGGACCAGGACTAGAGCATGTGCAGTTGGTTGATCTTAGATGGCATTGACAGGGAAAGAAAGCCTCAACTGAAAGGTGCTCAGGTGCCCTCAGTGACCAAGGACAGAGAGAGGAACTGCAATTGATTAGCCAGAGCATATCCCATGTCTGGAAAGTGAAGGTGAGGTCCCCAGTAGTGGGGGATGCAGTGTGTATGAATTTGGGGCATATCCTCAGGGTCTACCTAGGAGAACAGAAACATCTGAACGTTTCTACAGTGGAGGAAATTTATTGTAGGGAAAATTTTTTAATTCTCACCTGAGGATAAGTTTTTATTTTTTTCTTATTGATTTTTAGAGAGAGAGGGAGAGACAGAGAGAGAGAGAGAGAGAGAGAGAAACATCTGTCTG